ACTCTTGGGATAAAAAGATAACGCAATTTGGATTTCATTTTTTAATTTTGTGTGTACAACAGGAGTTTTGTGTGTGTTCAAAGTTCATATATGATTTGGATTGACCGAAGTAACATTTAAAAAAATTTTTTAAATAAATATATTTAAAAAATATATATAATTTAGTGCTAATTATTAATGCCAGATCTTTTAAATATCTGATATGTATTATTCAAATTAAGTATAATTTGTATTTATGAGATTTTAACTTGGTGTCAAATATACAAATATAGATTTTATTTTTTAAAATTAGATATACTATAATTTAAGTTGCAATTCTTAATCAAGGTTCATATATGATTTGGATTGAATGAGGTAACAATTTTTAAAAATTATAATTTAGCGGCCGTTATCAAATATTTTATATACTTAATACGTATCGTTTAAATTAAATCGAATTTTTATTTATGGAATTTTAATAGATAAATTAAATAAAAATACATATAACTTAGATTTTATCATATATATATTTTAATTTAATAAAATTTTTTTTGCAGGGTACGTATTCATAGCGCTTTTTTACTATTTTTTGAAATAGATTTTGTATTATTTAATGTCTTCTTATAAACAGTACATGAATTAATCAATTTAATACACATTTTTTTCCGAAGAACCGAAGAATATACGCTCTTAACGCCTTTTTCTCCTTTTTAAAGGGTAAATTTTGTACTGTAGTATTAACAACAATTCATAACGATAAGTAATTGATAAACTGTACGATAAACTCACCAGTGTACATAAAACAAATAAACAGTTTCAAATCAAAACCATAGTGTCGACATTAGTGTTATCACATTGATGCGAACACTATGTACATATTACGTACGGATTTAAAGCTTTATTGTCACAAAGTTTATTTTTACCTCACGGATTGCATTAGTAGTAACAAATTTGATAACGCTGTAGTGCACAGCTGATATGAAACCAACTTCATATAACTTAGAATCTATCTCGGTAAAGAAACAATGTGAAAATAATACAAAATCGGCCTTTACATTCTGAATTTCTTCCTTATCATTTGTCACATTTGATCACTGCCTATCACGTTACGAAGTGCAATGTTGCCAAGTCGTCTGTATGCGCTCGACTTTCCGAGTCATTGGCAATCTCATATATGTATTTGTTAACATTCTATACGTAATTTATTAAGAATGCAGCACATAAATAGTATCCACAATTCATTGCACTAATATTGCATATAATTCGGAATTGCTGTAATGACAATTTATTTTATTTGCAGTTGTTTTAACTCCAAAGTAATAATCGAATATCTTTAATGGACAAAACGCTTTACATGTATTTGTCATCACATCATCATGTAAAGCGAAGAAATCTGAAAATCTGAAATAATCTCTTTTCGGGACTCGAGCTCCAGATCTCGGTATCGGCTGCATTAATTTTATTCGGAAAATTTTTACTAGTCGCAATCGAAAAATATCAATGACATTATATAATAAAAGTGTTTTTAGATTTTTAATTGCGGCTTTGATTTATGAGTTAGTGAATTTTTAAGTGAATTTTAATTTAAAATTGATGTCAAAATTTCAGATAAAACTAGTGGTAGCATCGCAAATTTGGCAACAATACGAACATATACGTGTTACGTCGTGTCGCTGTTGAGATTTTCTCCGGTTTTAAAGTCAATGCATTTAAGTAATTTACCCGGGGGTCGGAGATCCAGTTGTGCAGTTAAGCATGTTCACTAGGAAGTATTGAATAATTACTCGGAAGAGTAATTTTGAACCCGGTGCCAAAAAGATTACGAAGCTTATAGGTGAATCTGCGTGGATTGGCTTTTCGAATGTCCTTGCAGTTAGGAAACGTAAGATTGATTTCCAATCGTTTGAGGGAATATACACTTTCGCGGGATGAGTCTTTCAGGTTTTTTTGGTCTAGTAACTGCGCTAATTTTTGGAAATAGAGGAATGGATCGTGGTTTGAAATGATTTTAGAGAACTGATTTTATTTGAAATCTCAATCTCTTCTCTCGCTGTCTTCGTCCGCCTTTAGTTGGCATGGAGGTAGCACAAAGAAATTATCAATGTTTCGAAGGAGTGTCGTAAGACGGGGGCCACGCTATTGGCACAACAGCCTCTCGGATACTCACGTATATATATAATTGAATGAGACGCAGAGCAGAGATTTAGGTTTCAGCCAATTCAGTTTAATATTTTCGTTTAATAAATAAAACAAAACAAGGAAAAGAAAAGAAAAAACAAACGAGTAGGTTTCTGACGAAGCGCGAGGACGGTTCTCACCTCGATTTCTAATTATGCTGGATAAGTTCTACTTTTGCTCTTTTACACACTTTTTTTCTCTACTCGTTTCTACTTTCAGCAGTTCCTTTTATATTTTGGAAATGAATGTGGGAGTGTCCCTTCAGGACCAATCAATGTTCCTCAAGGTTTGGTGGAATCTATATTCGCGCTCGTTTCCTTAAGATAAGGCAGCAAGGCTCCGCGTAAGTCCTACTCCCAACTCTACAAGTTTTATCTTAAGATAATAGTTGAGAGTTTTAATAATTTATAATAAAAATTCGGTTTTACTTAACTAACATTCTTATGCGAGACGAAGTAATGATACGAGGTCTGGCTATTAAATAACGAGACTGCGCGCGCAGAAGGCGTCCTAGAGGGGTAGGGTGAGAAACGAATGCAGCGTTGGATAGCTGGAAGTGTCTACTATTCCAGTACGAAAACACGTTTTTGTCGCAGTAGTAGTATTTTTTCTATAGAGGTTAGAAACGAACTTGTTTTTTTCTTGTGCCGATAACAATGTGTGACGAAAAACACAAGCAACGGATCAATGTGAAATTTCTCGTTAAATTAAAAAAAACTCCGACTGAGTGCTATAAGTTGTTGAAAGAGGCCTATGGTGAGAATTCTCTATCTCGTGCGCGTGTTTTCGAATGGTATAAACGGTTTTCTGAAGGCCGAGAGAGCACCGAAGATGACCAACGTCCAGGTCGACCTGTCTCTGTTTCAACTCCGCAAACAGTGACCAAAATCAATGAAATTGTGCGCGGAGATCGTCGTATGAGCATTCGGATGATTGCTGAGACTGTAAACGCCGATAAAGAAACTGTCAGAAAAATTTTACATGACGAATTAAACATGAAGAAAGTCTGTGCGAAGTTGGTCCCAAAAAATTTGACCCCTGACCAAAAGCTCGTCCGTCAACAGATCTGCTCAGATTTTCTTGAGAGGTTAGATGAAGAGCCTGAATTGATGGAAAACATCATCACTTGCGATGAAACCTGGATATTCCAATACGATGTTGAAACTAAGCGGCAATCCATGCACTGGAAAACTCCTGCATCGCCAAGAATGAAAAAAGCAAGGATGTCGAAATCAAAATTTAAAGCCATGCTAATCGTTTTTTTCGACATCAACGGCATCGTGATGACTGAATGGGTTCCAGAGGGTCAAACTGTAAACCAAACTTACTATTTGACAGTTTTGGCAACACTGCGAGAGCGAGTTCGTAAGAAACGGCTGGAGTTGTGGAAAAACAAGTCGTGGATCTTACACCAGGACAACGCACCTGCCCATAACGCGCTGTCTGTGAAGCGTTATTTAGCCGCTAGAGGCACTCCAGTGCTCGAACACGCTCCGTACTCGTCTGATTTAGCACCCTGTGACTCTTCCTGTTTCCGAAGATCAAGTCTGCCTTAAAAGGAACCCGGTTCGAGTCGATGGAAAA